TTAGATATTAGTGAAATCAGCGTGCTACCTTCACAGCTAGGTATTTAGGGGGGCCAGTTTGATTGTTTGAAGTCTTCCCTTAAACTAACTACTGAACAGACTTGTATTTGGAGCTAAATCAGTGCGTAGGATGGATATCCTGATGTTGCATGTATGTGTGGCTTAATAGCCGCAGTAGACAGCACAAACATTTGAGTAGCATGGAGGCCCCAAAGCTCTTCAGGGATCACTGCTGTTAGGAGACCTGAAGTTCACATTTAAGCTCAGCTGAGTCTTTTTCTAACTAAATGTTTAGGGTAACAGTATTTCTGCTTTTCTCAGGTTATTTTTTTTTTTGTAATTCTGTGTGCTAGAAACAGTATGAATAATTAATGAGAAATTTTTATTGTATTTCATGAAAGTATAATAATGTTACGTTTGTTGCATGATACAGATAATGTGGTAGTATTAGTCCCACAGTTCTGCTGTAAACTCTGTGATGTTCCCTCTTCAAAGTTTAATGAGTTTTTCTTTGACAGAGGACAACGTAAGGTGATTAAAGAAAATTTACTTTGGACGCACTTTGCAAAGGTTGAGGAATGATGTAATGATAGATTTCATGACTAGGGTATTTATCTGATCCATGTGTTTGGTGACTGTGACTATTTTAGAGAGAAACATACTTATGTTTTCTAAACAGGGCTGTCTTCTGTGGGCATTTTTACAACATTATGAATCACTAACCTTCCTTGGATTCTTGGGCTTTTATTTTTTGTATAAATGACTTCGATTCTTCTCCACAATCCAATGTAACATTTATTATTTGTTTCTTATTTTGTTGATAAAAGAAATTGACATTTTTCTTTACTTCTTTATTAGCATTATCACTTCCCTTCATTATAGTATCATGAAGAAATGTTTGCTTGTGAGGTATAGATCTGATCGCAAAAAATAAAATAAAATGTACCTTGCACACATACACACAACACAAACTTTGGCCCATTGTGACAAGATCCCTTACTAACCAATCTCCTGATTCTCTGTAACTCTGTGTCTATGCAGGCCTGGTAAAGTGACGTAAGTCATACTTGTAAGTGTAGATGTCCCAGCTACCCTTCAATCACTTTAGGGTGTGTTCTCCACGAATAAGTCAGTGAAACAAAGCCACATGCAAGAGGCCCTGGAATGTGGATCTTTCCATCTCTTTTCTTTTCTTTTCTTTTCTTTTCTTTTCTTTTCTTTTCTTTTCTTTTCTTTTCAGAAGTTGGGGGTGGTGGTGGTGGTGGTGAGGATGCTGCATAAGCATTCATTGCGTAATCCCGTGCAGGAACTATGTATATTGTATGTCAGAAAGCAATTTGAAATGGGTCATTTACTTACATGAAACACGGAGAGTGTGCTGGGACAACCTGGCAGAGAAGCAGGGCTCTGTGGATATTTATTTCCAGGGGTATTATTATTTCCGTAGTCTGAGGTGCACTATTTGTTTCTTTTATGTTTTATCAGCACTGACACCTTGTTGGAACTGGGTACTTAAAATCATGTTCTGTTCCCCTAAACTTTGGAAAGATGATCTTAAAAATGAAGCTTTATTTTCATGAAAAATTAAAACATTATGTAGTCAGAAAACTCACTCTTTCTATTCTCTATGTGTCTCTTTGTCTTGGTCTGTCTCTTCTCTCTCTGTTTCTGTTTCTCCCTTTCTCCTAGGTTCATGAACATTCTGAATCTTCAGCTCCCTCATGGTGTAAACTTAAATAATACAGATTGTAGAAAAGAATAATGGATTTCGCTAGCTTCTCTCTGATTCCCCATTATTCTGTCTGCCTTTGAGAATCACAGGCAGTAAAAACTGTCATAGTGTACCCCTGTGAGGAGTCTTTTAAATTCAACCCTCAGCATACATGTACACATATAAAAGTACTTATACAATTTGATGGAAAATAAAATTTTGGTGCAAAAAATTTTGAAATTCATGTATACTTTTATATTAATAAGCATTTTTCTTGAACTTTTTTTTTTTTTGACAGGCAGAGTGGACAGTGAGAGAGAGAGACAGAGAGAAAGGTCTTCCTTTGCCGTTGGTTCACCCTCCAATGGCAGCTGCAGCCGGTGCTCTGCGGCCGGCACACCGCACTGCCGATGGCAGGAGCCAGGTGCTTCTCCTGGTCTCCCATGGGGTGCAGGGCCCAAGGACTTGGGCCATCCTCCACTGCACTCCCTGGCCACAGCAGAGAGCTGGCCTGGAAGAGAGGCAACCGGGACAGAATCCGGCACCCCAACCGGGACTAGAACCCGGTGTGCTGGCGCCACAAGGAGGAGGATTAGCCTAGTGAGCCGCGGCGTCGGCTTTTTCTTGAACGTTTTGAAGACCCTTCATACAGAGTCATTTTTCAGTTCGCAAAGAGAAAGCTAATACTGTTTGTTTTTATCAATGTACTTTTTTGGCATAGCATCTCATCATGAATATTTCCCTGGGACAACAGATAGAGAACTGCTTCACCTTTGTAGCTTCTACATAATATTCCACATGGCTTAATTTCTTCAACTGCCCCATCTCCCCACCACCAATGGTCATTCAGAATATTTCCAGTGTTACATTATTACAAACAGCCCTATAAAGGGCACACTCAGATTTATCTTATTTCATTTCATTTGTTTAAAAGGAAGAGAGATAGAAGACAGAGACAGACAAACAGACAGAGGGAATCTCCCATCTGCTGATTCACTCCCCAAATGCCCAACAAAACCTGGGGCTGGACTGGGCCAAAGATAGAAGTCAGAAACTCAATCTGGGCCCTGACATGGGTAGCAGGGACCTAAATACTTGAACTATCACTTGCTGCCTATCAGGGTGCACCTTAGCAGAAATACGGAATTAGGAGGAGACACAGAATTTAAATCCAAGCATTCCATTATGGGATGTGGCTGTCACAGTACTGTCTTAATGACATACCCCAAAAATCACACTTTTAACAAATCATATATGACCTTTCATTTATTTTCATAGGATAGATCCCTAAAATTGAGTACTGGATGAATTATATATACATTTAAAATTTTCATATTCATATTGCCAAATGAATTTCTAAAATATGAATAATAGTTTATTTCTTCTTTAAAAGTGTTTAATACTGTCTAGTTTTCAATACTCTTCATAACATTGGGTATTATTAACATTTATAATTTTGTTCAATCTAATAGATAAAATATATTTGATTTTAATTTTATTGGCTATAATATATAAACACATTTTCAAATACACCTTAGCCAGTTGCAATCTTTTTTTGAACTACAAACTTAGTTTCTCTGTTGGAGTCTTTTTTTTTTCTTATTAACTTGAAAAAACTACCTATTTATTTATTTATTGCTTGATTCATAGTATCTTTGCTTTAAAACTGTTTTCAGTTTTAGTAAATTGAATGTATTTGCCCTTTATGGCTTCTGAGTTACATATCTCTTTTATATCCATGTCTCCCAGTGCTCTTGTTTTTCAGAGTTTTTAAAATTCTGATACTTAAATTCCTCAAGAATTCCTTTATGTAAATTGTGTTTAATAAGAGTTCCATTGGACTTTTCTTCCATCTGCAGAGCCAAATCCTCATATAACTTGGTGAATAATATAATTTATTAATTTGGACTATAGTATTTTTTTTAACGATTTACTTATTTGTTCATTTGAGAGTCAGAGAAATGCATATAGAGAGACAGATAGACAGAGAGGACTCCCATCTACTAGTTCATTCCCCCAATGTTTGCAACAGTTGGGGCCTGAGGCCAAAGCTGGCACCTGGAAACTCAAGTTATTTGAGCCACATCACTACCTCCCAGGGTCTACACTGGCGGGAAGCTGAGATTGGGAGCCAGAGGCAGGTATTGAATGCAGGCACTCCAATGTAAGATGTGGGCATCATAACTGGCATTTTAACCAGTAGGACAAACACCCACCCTTATAATATTAAGAAGTATATTTTCATAGAGAAACAGTGACTTGATCAGCCCTTGTCCTGAATATTGATGAACAACTTAATATTTTATCCCTTTTAGTACTTTTTTTGTCCTACTTAATACTATTGGTTGAACTCTGTAATTAACACACAATTATTCTTAGGTGTTTAAATTTAACTGAAAAGTGATACCTCATTTACGGTGTGCTTAAAAACATTGATTTTCTGATACAGTGTTAGAGAGTTGCATATAATCTTCTCATTTTTTTTTTTTTTTTTTGACAGGCAGAGTGGACAGTGAGAGAGAGAGACAGAGAGAGAAAGGTCTTCCTTTGCCGTTGGTTCACCCTCCAATGGCCGCCGCTGCAGCCGGCGCACCGCGCTGATCCTGGCAGGAGCCAGGAGCCAGGTGCTTTTCCTGGTCTCCCATGGGGTGCAGGGCCCAAGCACCTGGGCCATCCTCCACTGCACTCCCTGGCCATAGCAGAGAGCTGGCCTGGAAGAGGGGCAACCGGGACAGAATCCGGCGCCCCAACCGGGACTAGAACCCGGTGTGCCGGCGCCGCAAGGTGGAGGATTAGCCTATTGAGCCACGGCGCCGGCTCTAATCTTCTCATTTTTCAAATCATTTTTCTGCTCACTTATTTCTCACTTCTTAGTCTTCAAGTTGTATGCTTTTCTTTCTGTTCCTTTTTCAGAATACCAGAAAGTTCGCTATTTTATTTATCTCCTCAAATAGCTAGCTGTTAGTTAAATTCCTTGTTTGTCTGCTTTTGTATTTTGTTGCTCTTCTGGCCCCTGGATCGTATTCCCTAAGATTTTTTGCACTGTTACTTCATGGTGACAGCCTCAGCACGGATGCTTCAGAGAACACAGCATGACACCTTTCCTGCCACCCTCCTGTCCCTGGACGTCTGTTGCATTCACCAGTTTTATGTTCATGGTGCCTTATCTTGCCCTCTGAAATTGTGCGCTTTTAACATTTGTGGGTTTTTTTTTTTTTTTTTTTTGACAGGCAGAGTGGACAGAGAGAGAGAGAGACAGAGAGAAAGGTCTTCCTTTACTGTTGGTTCACCCTCCAATGGCCGCCGAAGCCGGCGCACTGCGCTGATCTGAAGCCAGGAAACAGGTGCTTCCTCCTGGTCTCCCATGCGGGTGCAGGGCCCAAGCACCTGGGCCATCCTCCACTGCCCTCCCTGGCCACAGCAGAGAGCTGGCCTGGAAGAGGGGCAACTGGGACAGAATCCGGCGCCCCGACCGGGACTAGAACCCGGTGTGCCGGCGCCTCAGGTGGAGGATTAGCCTATTGAGCCATGGCACCGGCCACTTTTAACATTTCTAATAGATTATTTTTTAAAATTTTAGAACAATTTTAGATTAACAGAAGATTTTAAAAGATAGCATGTTGGGGCCGGCGCTGTGGTGTAGTGGGCTAAGCTGCCACCTGCAGTGTCAGTATTCCATGTGGAAGCTGATTCGAGTCTTGGCTGCTCTTTTTCCCATCCAGCTCTCTGCTATGGCCTGGGAAAGCAGAGGAAGATGGCCCATGTCCTTAGGCCCTTGCACCCTCTTGGGGAAACCTGGAAGAAGCTCCTGGCTCCTGCCTTTAGATTGGCAGAGCTCCGGCCATTGCATCTATTTGGGGAGTGAACCAACAGGTGGAAGACCTCTCTCTCTGTCTCTCCCTCTCTCTGTCTGTAATTCTACCTCTCAAGTAAATAAATAAATATTTTTTTTAAAAAATTATGTAGTGTTCCCATATACTTCTCTTCTAGCTTCCCCTTTTAACATCTTACATTAGCAGAGTACATTGGGCACAATTAATGATACTCTATTATTATTGAGAGATCATACTTTATTCAAGTTTTCTTAGTTTTATTTAGTTTTTTTTTTTTCAATCTATTATCCACCCGGGTTACCCAATTTATTTTTAATCTTCACATCTACTTAGGCGCCTCCTGTCTTTGACAACATCGCAGTTTTTTCTTATTTTGGATGACATCAAAGTTTCGATGTGTACTAGTAAGAAATCTGTAGGATGCGGGACTGGTGTTGTGGGAGTAAAGGTTAAGCTGCTGCTTGTGACACTGCCATCCCAATGTGAGCACCAATTGGAGTTTGCTCCCTTCTAATATAGTTTCCTACTGATGTGCCTGGGAAGGCAATGAAAGATGGCTTGAATACTTGGGTCCCTCCCACCCACATGGGAGACCTGGATGGAGTGCCCGACCCCTGGCTTCAGACTGGCCCAACCCTGGCTGTTGTAGCTATCTGGAGTGTGAACCAGCAGATGTAAGACCTTTGTCTCTCCCTCTCTATCTGTCACTCTGCCTTTAAATTAAATTAATGAATCCTTAAAAAAAAAAAAAAAAAAGAAAGAAAGAAAAAAGAAATCTGTAGAATGCCCCTAAATTTGTATGATTGTTTTTCATTTCTGATTGCTGTTGGAAATAACTCCAATACTGTGTGGAACAGAGTGTTGAGAATAGGCATCCCTGCCTTGCACTCAATCTTACATGGGAAGTTTTGCATTTTCCTTATTGACAATGAGAGTAGACATGGCTCTTTTCATTAAGGACCTTTATATGCTGAGCTACATTCCTTCTAAACCTAATTTGTTGAGTTTTTTCTTAATCAAGAAAGGATGTTCAACTTTGCTAAATGGTTTTTCTCTATCTGTTGAAACATTCATGTTGTTTTTAATCTCTCCGTCTGTTAATGTAGTATACCTCATTGCTTGATTTGCATATGTTAAAACAATCTTGCATCCCAGGGATGAATCCCACCTGATGTGTTGTTGAATTCAATTACCTAGTATTTTATAAGAATGTAGTTTTCTTTTCAAGATTGAATTCTTAAAATGGTTTGGAAGTATTCTTCCTACATGTAATTTTTGGGAAGCATTTTAGGAGGTCAACTGTTAATTTTCCTTATTTTAAATATTTTTAAAAATAAAAACATGTAAGGCTATATGTTTTCTTCTGGGTTTAGCTGTGTCCCATTGTCACTATACTTGTATCTGAATCACTTGCGCTTTGTACTTGTGTTGTATTTTGGATTCTTGGGTTGGTTGAAGATAATTCTTTTATTTTTAAATTTTTTGACAGGCAGAGTGGACAGTGAGAGAGAGAGACAGAGAGAAAGGTCTTCCTTTGCCGTTGGTTCACCCTCCAATGGCCGCCGCGGCCCACACGCTGCGGCAGGCGCACCGCGCTGATCCAATGGCAGGAGCCAAGTGCTTCTCCTGGTCTCCCATGGGGTGCAGGGCCCAAGGACTTGGGCCATCCTCCACTGCACTCCCTGGCCACAGCAGAGAGCTGGCCTGGAAGAGGGGCAACTGGGACAGAATCCGGCGCCCCGACCGGGACTAGAACCCGGTGTGCCGGCGCTGCAAGGTGGAGGATTAGCTTAGTGAGCCGCGGCGCCGGCCGAAGATAATTCTTTAAATTTCAAAGCACTTAGTATTTCGTATGTGTGTGTGTATGTGTGTGTGTGTCCTTGCTCATTCATCTCAGGGAATTTTCAGTATTTTCTCTGTGGTCATATGCATGATCATTTTCTGTGAAATTTCTGTTCCATGGGCATAAAAAAAGACTATATTTATAGATGTATGGCATAAAATATCCACACACATTAATAAAAAACATGGTATTTTCAACATCATTCTGGTTCTCTGATTAAAATATTTATAATTTTGCTTTCATGCTGCTGTTGTATTTACTATAATATGCATCTTCTGTATTAGGAAAGAAAACTGCTTACTCTTTATATTAGTGCAATTCGCCAAATACAACTGACATGCATTTTGACTTCACTTTAACTTTTAGTAACTCTTTGCCCATCACTTTTGTATTCTGTGTGCTCTGTCTCCCCTTTGCTGTAGGGCATCAGTTTTCCCTGCTCTCTAGGCCTGATTTGCTCTCCCTAACCCCTCATCCCCTAGTCTATGATGCCATCCATATCCTGAGTCATCCCTGAATTGTTTTACAAGGGGACATCAAATGCATTCAGTTGTTTCACTTGCCTAGCTCCAGACTAGAGTGTCCAGCTACCATGTATATCTCTATGTAGGAGTCTTTGTGACTCCTTGAACTTGACTCTTGTGTCAGAAAGTGGCTCTTTCTCCATTCTTTGCTTGTGCAAGGTAACCACAAACCCAGGAGTCACTCTTGGTATAATTCCCTGACCAGGGAGATATTAGGAACAGAGGATAGAGACCCACCAGGTGGGTAGAGGGAAATCTTCACATAACTGCTCTACTCTTTGAAGTAGATCCTGGCATTCTATAAGGCTCCTGCAGAAAAGCCACCTAGTTGTTGACCTCCTTTAAAGTTTTACTATATTTTATGGACTTTCCAACTGTGAAGTTAAAATTCACAAGACCCAGGAAACAAATTACAATAATGCCTTTCAATTTCTTTAAAATGCTTTGAATTGTAATAATGTTTTTATTTTTATAACTATATCAAACGTTTTTAGGGAGTCTTGTTCCCTCTTCCCCTAGGCTTAAACAAATTCTGAAACAGGGTTTCTCAATCTGTCAGCTGCATCTGGGCCACCAGGGAATTTAAGAAATGCAGATTGTGACTCAGGAGGTCTGGAGGTCAGGCTTGTGTGTTTCTAGCAAGCCCCTGGTGATGCCAGTATTGCCAGTGTTAGCACACTTGGAGTAACAGTAGCAAGGTTATAAAGCCCTTCTGGGTTTTTGCAAGTATAGTTTGTCCAACTTTGTTCTGTATTTGTGTCAAACCAATGGTTGAGAATGGTATACTGTGATAGTTTTAATAATCTGTGATTATTTTAAAATTAAAAAAAATCTTGGATTTAGTTTCTGAACTCCAGCAAAAAATCCAATCTCTACATGTTAGGGATACATTTCACTTTTTTCCATGAAACTCTTTGCCCACCTTGAGAACTCACATTATTTATTGGGCTTAGGTATCAGTGACATTTGTTTCAAAAAGTTGACTATATTTTTTAAAAATATAATTTGTGGACTCAGACTAGATGCACAATTAGTCATGTAATCTGCAGCTAGTCCCCAAAGTGGCCTTCTGACGTGATCTGAGCAGTAGTGTAGTGGGTGACCATCTTGGGCCACCCTGGCCTTTCCTTGTTTTAACACTGAGAGTCACACTTGTGAGGAAATCCCAGAGTCCTCAGTGGACCAGGTCAACATTAGGACTCTTCTCTCACCATGGGCAAGTTACAGGCACCCAAACGGATTGTTTTTAAAGGCACAGTACTTTCTGACACTCAAGCATTTTGATATGTTCCTTGGACAATCACTTTCCTTAGTTATTTCTCATAGGTGGTGGATAGAGCAGGTTTAGACCTGTTTCGCAGGGATCAAATGACATTTTCAGAGTCTTTTCCATTACCTGCGATTTCAAGTTCTTATACTTTTGCTATTTGATGGGTACATGATCATTCTTGCTTTCTTCAAGTGAAGGTTATAAAGCTAGCTTTGGGAAAGCTGGTTTTGCTTTAATGGTCTCTTTAAGACTACTTATTAAAAACAACAACAACCAAAATCCTTTATTTTCTCCTATTTTGTAAAGCTAAGTGCATAAGAGTTAATATTCTGTCTTTTAAATTTGAAATTCTATGTGGTTTATTTCTGGAAATGTTAGTCATATTGGCTGGTTATTTTTCATGGGCTGATAACTATGTCACCAGCAATGATATACATGATATTATTTGAAAACCTTGCCTGGCATGTGCTAAAATTCACCGAAAGTGCCTTTAAAAACAAAGGTCTTATCACAGTCATCCTTCTATTTGCATTGCAAGATAAGTGACACAAACCCATTTTAATTAGATCCAGAAATCCCTGAGCATTTGGCAATTAATAGTATCAATTGTTCCATTAATAATAAGTAATATTCCTAATGCCAAGTGTGTTATGTGTTAATAAGCAAAATAGGTTCTGAAAATGTCTCTGTTGGAAACTTCACTTCGGTGGAGTTTGTGAGGACTGGACATTAGGGGTGGACTTAGAGACTGAAATCAAACCATGTGTTTAGGACTTGGAGGAGGGAGAAGAGAAAGCCATAGTCATGCTCTGCTCATCATCACTGACTGACTAGATATACAATGTCTTGAGCCCCTACCAAGTAGTAGGCATTAAATGTGGGTCATCAGCTTTCACTGGAATGGTGGCAATGTCAGTTAGTGTTTGTCAAAATCCTAAATACCTTGTAGTAAAATATTGTAACAGACTGTAAGCATTGGCTTGGAAACACTGGGGGAGGTGTGCATGTGCAACTGGAAAACCGCCTGAGAAACTGGCTAATAGAGCTGCTTCCATGCAGAAAGGCTCTTGAGCTTGGAACATGTCCCAAATCAGTTGTAGTGAGATCCCTGGGCTGTGTTTTGCAATTCAAATACATTGGTACTTTCCATAGCAGCCTCTGAGGCTCCCCAGTGGTGGGGTCCTTTGAATGTTCACTCATAAATGGGGACCTTTGTTCTATGGTACATTTGAGTGTCACACTTTGGTGATAAATTCAAACTTTGAAAAAAAATCTCAAAGTAAGCAGCTTTTGAGGCCTCTGATTGCAGATGAAGTTAAAGATCACAGCTTACTACTGCCAGTGGCTCTACCAGTCTGTCTAGATCATAGAAAGCCATCAATAGTTCATTATGTGTTGGGGAATTTTGTGTTGGAAAAATTGTGGAGAGATGAGGAGGGTAGGTGAGAGATTCCTGTTTACCTTTGGCCAAGCCTGTTTGTTCCACATTAATTCCTTTGGCCACAGTAGTTAAGTCTATTATCAAAATTCTTTATCTAGTCCAAAAAATGTGTCGCAGACAATTCTTTTATTCACTATGTTTATCTGCTGTTTCAGATCTCTAAAGAATCACACATAGTTGTGGCACCAAGGGCTCTATAGGACACAGCCAGGTTTCCTACTGAGACATCTTTGCTCAGATGTATGGTCTTAGAAGTAACTGATAGCCTAACCTATCAAGAACTGAATAGTGGCGTCCCTCTTTTGTTTAAGGGTCTGCACCTTCTTGGGGCATTTGTGTACACAATCCCACTGGTCTGCAGAATGAGAGAGTGATCTGTGCTGAGTTTAAGCTCCCTGAGGACAGAGGCTGTGTACTCATCTGCCTGTTGTTTTCCCAGACTTAACCTGGCCCATTAGAGATGTCAATCAGACTGTCACTATCTTTAGGAATTCTTTGGTCCCACTTGCTGCTTCTCTTCCCAGTTATCCTAGAATGGGAATTCCTTTTACTCTGTGCTCTGGCATCATAGCACATACCACGTAATTTTGTCTGTTCCCTCTATTAAGCTCCACGGAATGGATATTTTTGTTTCTGTATACCCAGTACCGACCACAGTAGGCATTCAATCCAAGTTGAAAGAAATGGATGAATGTAAAACACTCAGTAAAGGTTAGCTGAGTTGAACTGAACAGAGCAGGCACACCCTCCTAGCTATCACTGGGGTGGGATTTAGTGCAGGTGATGTAATGCAACTTGACAGGGTAGTTAAATATTGACAGGCAGGAGGAAGCACGCTGGCACTGCTCAGAAAGAGGGAAGTAAGGGCCCTGTGGCTGTCAGATCAGAGTTGAAGCCGGAGGTGACTGCAGTGGTCCCAGTGACCCAGCTGAGGTCAGTCAGTACACTTGGCACTTGCTTCATTCGAGGTAAGGGTTGGAGGCTGGCTGGGAAGATAATGGGTTGTGATGTGAGGAAATGCAGCCTCTGCACCTGTGGCTTACAGATGACTGGCATCCCAGACACTCCCTGCTGGCTGCCCACTTGCATCGGGCTCGGGCTGATCCACATTTATGGCAAGGATCGTGAATCCTATTTGAATCTCTCCTCTCTCCCCACCTTACCTGTGCTCCAACATGATCTCTGCTTTAATATAACCTCGTTATGTGATTGAGGTTGGAGGCTACTGCATGTGTTCTGAATGCTTAGTTGAGGAATCTATCCATATGAATTCATTCGTAAGTGCTCTTTGATGGTGATAATTAGAGACGTACATAGCAATGGAATTAGGAGGTCATCAGCATATTTAGTGCTACCTGGATGCCTTGCAGAGGCAGTGGTGGGAAGGGGAGGGAGAGGCACATTAGACAATGTGTTTAGCTTTCATGTGGAATGAGGGAGCAAGCAGAGGTGAGATCAAGGAGGATATTGGGTAAATGAGAAAATGCCAATAGACACCAGACAGAGAAATGGTTTAGTCGAGTCTAACTCTGCATTTAGAGCAGGGCACATGTCACCTTGAGAACGAAACACCCCGTTTGACTTTAGAAAGACTGTTTTAATCAGCCAGTCTGGCTCAGGCAAGTGTTTTAGGAAAGAAGAACTGGTATTCTGCTCATAATTAAATAGTTACTGGCAATAACAAGAATCAGGCAATACAAATCTCTGTTGTAAATGTTGGAAAATGTTGGCTGATGACTGGGAGTGGCAGAGTAAGGCAAGTGACTAAGGACTCAGATCAGGTTCAAATCTCAGTTTAACAAGTTGCTGGTTAAGGAAATCTAATCTCTGGGTGGCTTTATTTCTTCATCTGTGAAATGGACAGAATGAAACCTTGTTAGCAGGATGCTGTGAAACTACAATAAAATAATAGATGAAAAAGCACATCAGAGCCTGCCTGACCCTAGCAGCTCACTCCAAAACACTTTCTCAATTTCAAAATGCTCATTCTATTTTATCTTTTTAAAATAATGCTTTCTTAAAATATAATTCAGATAGCATCCTCTCCAGCCACTTAAAGTGTATCATTCAGTGAGTTTTAGTGTTTTCACAGAGTTGTGTATACATCAATCAATTCTAGAATATTTTCATCATCAGAATCGGAAAACCATACCCACCAGCAGTCATTCCCCACGTCTTCCTAATATCCCCAGCCCTCACTGACACTAACCTGCTTTCTGTCTCTATGGAACTGGCCTGCTCTAGGTACTTTGTGTAAATGAAATCATACAACATGTGATAGTTTATGGCTGCTTCTTCCACTTTCTGTACTGTTTTTAGGGCCCATTCATGGTATATATGTATCAGTACTTCTTTTTTTTAAATTTCCAAATAATATTCTATTGTGATTATTTAAACATTTAATTTACCCATTTATCAGTTGATAAAAGAATCAGGTTGTTTCCTGGTTTTGGCTCTTATGAATAATGCTGCTATGAAATTCATCTACACATTTTTATGTGGGCAGGCATCAAAAGTCAGAGTTACACAGAGGAGGGGGCAGAGAGAGAGAGGTCTTCCATTTGCTTGTTCACTCACCAATTGGCCTCAAAGGCTGGAGCTGTTCTGATCCGAAGCTAGGATCCAGGAGTGTCCTCTGGGTCTCCACGTGGGTACAGGAGCCCAAGGACCTGGGCCATCCTCTACTGCTCTCCCAGGCCTCAGCATAGAGCTGGATCGGAAGTGGAGCAGCCAGGACTTGAACCAGTTCCCATATGGGATGCCAGCACTACAGGCAGCAGCTTCACCAGCACCAGCCCATGATATCATTTTACAACTGGATTACCCCACTTCATCTTCCTGAGAAGTTGTGAGAGCACAGTAGGAATATTGAGAGAGGGTACCTTTTACTCAGCAGAGCGGAAGTTGAAAAAAATGTTAAAATGGCCATCACTCTCCTTTAGAATATTGCAACATAATAAATATGCCAGCTTCTTCTATAAACTGCATGAATATCTCCAGTGCTAGACCCATTTTTAGTATAAGATCAAATGTATATCTTGCATGCATGGTATCATGATGGGTTTTGTTTGTTTGTTCATTGCACAAACAAACATAAGTGGATTAACCAAGTAGGAAAACAAAAGCAGCATGCAGTAGGGAGGTGTTTATATGATCAAACATGTAAACAACTCATGGAAATCATCTGAGTGAAATGGATGGTTTAAATAAGCGTGACTGTATATTCTCAATCACCTATGGCCTCATTGTCAGAGAGCCAGTGGGGAGTGTTGAGGCAAACCACAGAGTATGTCTCATCTAAAAAGGCAGAAAATCTTGAATTCAGCTGATTGTTGTCCTGTAGGTACATGAGCTCTCCTGACTGTGTGTGCTTATTGTTCAAGACCACAAATTTAGAACTGATTTTAAAAATCCACTTCATGAGTTAAATGAAATATACCCCACTGGAGATCAGCCTGTTGCTCTTTCAAGTAGGGTGAATTGCTGTACTTGGAGACCACAAGGTTTAGGGGCTGATTTGAGTGTAATTCCCCTATTTGTCACCATTTGTTAGACCTCTTATTTCCCATTTGAAAAGTGAAGAGGTTTGATGAAATGTGCTCAGTTGGTCCTTTTGCCTGGAATGTTCTGGAATTGCAGAACACTTGCTGACAGCAGTCACCTAGAATGTATCAGGAGAAGTAGCACAGAGTTTGAACAAACAACCCTTAAAAGTTGGAGCACTCTAAGAGGCCTTCTTTACCTCTCTTTCACTGCAGTTCTTCCAGTGATAAAATCTCTCAGCTCTTGTTCACAGTTTTTTTTTAACTTTACCTTCATTTTTAGAATTCTGGACAAGGATTTTTTTTTTCTCTTTGACTTAGACTGTGTATGTCCTCCATCTGAACCCACAGTAGAAGTAAAAAAAAAAAATCCATCACTTTATTCCTGTACTGAAACAGATTTGTCTCCTTTAAAAAAATTTAGTTAAAACTTATCTATTACAAGTACCAAGAGTAATAGAGTTCTCTGGCTCTGTTATTGGAGGATTTCATGAGAAAATATTTCCAGTTGAAATGTCTAATATTGCAGAGGCCACAGCTTAACAAAAGAACCGTATCTTTGCCTATTACTGGTCTTTGCCACCCTGTTTGCTTGCTGTTGGGCTAACGACCTGGGAAAGGCAAAAGTAAAAAAGCAGCATTAATGCCAGCTTGCTACGTTGTTGAACTTTCCATTTGCCCTCCGATCCTTCTCTTTTTCTCACTCAGAGGCCAGTGTGGGAGTAACTCATTAAAACAATGCTAAAAGAGCCACACATAGTTTTATTTGAGAGTAGCCGTGGGGTCTGAGCAGTCTAATTACTACATACTTGGGTTCATGTGCTTTTCATTCCTTTTATAATGTGTTCCTCCAAGCCATCCTGCCAGCTAGAACATGGCTATTGTCCCCGTTTGACAGTTAAGGAAATTGAGGTTCCGTGCTGGTTTGAAGTCTCCATCTTGATTAGCTGCAGAACTGGAATCACGGTGCCCATCACCCAAGGTACTTGTCAATCACTCAGCCACAAAGAAAATTTCCATCTCAGCCAAGTAAATCATTAAAGCAAGGTCAAAGAAGTCCTACGTAGCAGCTTTTAATACTATCCTCTGAGAAACTGTTAATTATAAAAGAGCAGTTTATGAAGACTAAAAGTTTATATTGCACATACTTAAATTATTTTTTCTTATGTGTCTCATACATTCAGGTAACTTGGCGTAAAAACTCTTGACTGAAAAAGCTTAGTTTTAAAGTTCATCTAAGGAACATATCCTCCCATCACAGCCGCCGCTGTTTGGCATTTTCTACTTACATCAAACAAATTTCTCACATTGCTGTTCACTTTCATTTTTTCCTGCTCCTTTTCTTTCTGCTTAAAGTGTTGAACAGCTGGCCACATTCACGACTTAAGAGCTCCTCTACCATTATGGCCTCCTTGACCCTCCCCAGCCTTTTCTTCCCTAGGCAGAATAATCCCAGGGCTATTTAGCCTCTGCTCCTGGGTCCTGTTTGGCCATCCTTTGATCTGCATTGTAGTTCTCCTCTTCGTCCTCCCACTGGAGGCCCAGGAAGACAATAGCTCCATCTTGTAAAGAGCACACCAAGCCCCCTCCAGTGGAGAGGGGCCTCCCATCGCAACCTCTGTGATTAGCATATTTCCCACGTGGAGCAGTCCTCAGCTGTCTGCTGGCAAGGACACCTGCCGCCGTGCAGGCAGTGATGGGCAGGTTGCCAGACTGACCTCTGAAGCTCACAAAGTCAACCTGGGAAAGTGGGTCAGGAGTTGATTACAGGCTATGGCATCTTGAGGAGTGCTGCAGGCTCACCTGTGGGAAAGAAGTGCTGGGGTTAATGGAACATTGCCATTGGAGATTGTCACAAGTCATGAGATGCTGGGAGGGCTGACCTTTCTGGGCCCTCCAGGACTGAGCTGAGCAAAGTGCCAACTGTTGGGGCCCAATAATTGGAACAACTGGAAGAGTCAAATGTAAGAGAATTACCTGTGGTCCTTAAAAGGAACAAGAAACAGAAACCACGTGCTTTTCCTTTTAAAATCCATTCTCTGAGGAAAAAGAAATGTATTTTCACTATTGATATAAAAGAATAGTAAAGTGCTCTTAAGCAACATTTTAAAAGCAGGATCTATGGCAGCCATTTTATGAAAACTTATTTCTCACTCTAATTGTAAGCCTGTCCCACCTGCAGGTGCATGCAAAATTAAATGTTTGGCAGATAAAGGAGCTTTGCAAAATAAAAAGATAGTACCCTTGGAAGCCTCTCTTTCTCTCTCTCTCTCTCTCTTTTTTTTTTTTTTTTTTTTTTTTTTTTGTTAATTTTATTTATTTGACAGGAGTGAAGAGAGAGAGCATTTCCATTTGCTGGTTCATTCCCTAAATGCTCACAATGGCTGGGGCTGGGCCAGGCTGAAGCCAGCGCCAGGAATTCAATC